GGAGAGAGGAGAGGAAACTTCAACTACTTTAAGTTTATTTGGAATGTTTTGTTTTACTGAAACAACACAGTTGAAGCCAATAAGCCAAAGTATTCTTATCTGGATTTATTCTTTCTTTCTCTTTTTTTGCCCTAATAAGAAAAAACTATCAGTACTACAGGGCGCCTGGGTGGCTCAGTCAGTTAAGCATCTGCCTTCTGCTCAGGTCATGATCCTATTAGGGTCCTGGGATCAAGTCCCCCATCAGGCTCCCTGCTCAGTGGGGAGTCTGCTTCTCCCTCCACCTCTGCCCATCCCCTCCCCTCTGCTCGTGCTCTCTCTCACTTGCACTCTCTCTCTAAATATAAATAAATAAATAAATAAATAAAATCTTAAAAAAAAAAAGAGAATATCAGTACTACCCTAGAGGAAGAAGTTTAGGATGCCTTGGGAATGCATAACGGTGGGGCCTAACCATTTTTAACTGGGGTCAGTTAGTCTGGTAAAGGGGATGGGAAGAGCATTCCAGGTGGAGGGAATGGCATGTGCAAAATTGGAAATCAGAGAGAGTGAAGCATATTTGTGGAAATGAATGCGGATCAGTGGCCAGGAAAAAGTGGGGAAGAGGGGAGAGATGAGGCTGCCAAACCCCTATATTGTTGTTTCCTTTATTACAAATGTGGAAACAGAGCCCTAGTGAGGAGAGCAGAACCAGGGCCTCCTAACTCCCTGTCAGTTGCTCCATGATAATAATAATGACAATGATAATAATGATGATGGATTATGTTGCTGGTCTCTCTACTAGGTACTTGAAATATATCCTCTCAATTCTTAATTGTAGGAAACAAACTGAGGGTTGCTGGAGTGGGGGATGGGGTGGGAGGGATGGGGTGACTGGGTGATAGACACTGAGGAGGGTATATGCTCTGGTAAGCGCTGTGAGTTGTGCAAGACTGTTGAATCTCAGATCTGTACCTCTGAAACAAATAATGCAATATATGTTAAGAAAAAAAAAAAGAAGAAGAAGGTAGCGGGAGGGGAAGAATGAAGCGGAGGAAATCGGAGGGGTAGACGAACCATGAGAGACGATGGACTCTGAAAAACAAACAGGGTTCTAGAGGGGAGGGGGGTGGGAGGATGGGTTAGCCTGGTGGTGGGTATTGAGGAGGGCACATTCTGCATGGAGCACTGGGTGTTATGCACAATGAATCATGGAACACTTCATCTAAAACTAATGATGTAATGTATGGGGATTAACATAAGAATAAAAATAAATAAATAAATAAATAAATAAATAAATAAATAAATAAATAAATAAATAAATAAAAATAGGAAACCTGGATCAGGGAAAATAATTAATAAATAACAAAAATATGATGTTTCACAAAGAAAAAAAAAAGAAAAGAAATATATCCTCTCATTTAGTCTCATTACAGACCTATAGCGGATTTTCCTCCCCGTTTTACAGATGATGAAACTGAGACTCACGAAATAATGAAAGTTAAGAAATTTGCTCAAAGTCACAGAGGCAGAAGCCAGATCCCACGAGGCCTTGCGTGCGATGCTAAACAGATTGAACTTTTTCCTAAGGGCATTGGTGAGTGTATTAGGTTCCTATTGCAGCTGTAATTACCACAAACTGAGTGACCTAAAAGAACACAAATGTATGAGCTTATAGTTTTTGAGGCCAGAAGTCTGAAGTGGGTTTCACTAGGCTAAGATTAAGGTGTTAGCAGGGCTGGGTTCCTAGGAGGCTTTAGGAGAGAATCTGTTTCCTTGCTTTTCCACCTGCATTCCTTGGCTTATGACCCCCTTCCATCTTCAAAGCCAGCAATCATAACACTCCCGACCTCTGTTTCTACCATCAGATCCCCCCCCCCAACTCTATACTCCTGCCTCCCTCTCTCACTTATAAGGACCCGGGGAATGACCTTGGGCCCACCCGAATAATCCAGGACAATCTTTCCATCTCGTGGTCAGCTGATTAGCAACTTTAGTTCCATCCACAGCCTTAAATCCCCCTTCCCATATAATATATTAACATTTTCTATGAATTAGAGCACATACATCTTCGGGGAGACCGTTATGTTGCCTACCACAGTGAACCACGCTGAAGGGTTTTAAGCAAGGAAGTAACAAAGTGAGACCTGCATTTTAGCATCTTCATATTCCTGGTTTTGTAAAACAATCTCTCCCTGACTTATTTAAGGCAAATTGAGCTTTGTGACAGCTAACACTTTCGAAGGCAGAACAGCTCATAGACATTAAATGTGTTAAGCCTAATAACTACAGCTGGTGTTTGTACAGAGCTTTTAACGTGATGGAGTTCCTTTGTACATGCAGTTTGATTATTCCAACAACCCAGTACGAGTCCAAAGCACTGGTAATTATTGCCCCTTTATGGATGAGGAAACCGATCCGGGGGCATTCGGTCACCTGCCCAGGGCCACAGAGCTGCTAAGGCCAGGGCCAGGACTAGGAACTAATCTTCAGACCCCACCACCAGCATTTCTTTATGCCATCTGTGGGGTGGGCATTCTGGGAAACTCAAGTCACACAGCACATCTTTGGTGTCATTTTTCATGCATAACTTGATGCCCAATAAACATTTGTTGAATAGATGAAATCCTGCTTTCACTTCTGAGCACAAACAGTGGTTTTCAAGGCAGGAAAATGGGGAATGGCCCTAGAATTCCTCCCTTTCCCCCACATTCAATCTATTTCCTAGTCCCATCAGCTGTGCTGCCAAAATATTAAGTCTGTCCCCTTCTTTCCAGTTTCTCTGCTCCCGCCGTGTCCCAGGACACCACCACCTCCCTGGCCTCCCTGCTTTGCCTCTCTAATATATTCACTCTGGATAGGGGCCAAAGTGATCAACTTAAAATGTAAACCAGATGACAGGGCTGGCCTCCCTTGTTAAATTTTCCCACCAGATTTCCATCATACAGAGGAGAAAAACCTAAACTCACAGTTATGGCCATACACGGTCCTATACGCTTGGCTCCCCACTCCCTCTTTAGCCTCAAGCTCCTTGGCCCCCCTCCTCTCCAGTCCCACTGGCTCCTCATGAAGGCCAAACTCTTTCCACCACAGGGCTTTTGCTTGTCTTGTTCCTTCTGCTGGAAATCTCTCTACTCTTTAAATAGCTGGATTTCTTATACATCAAGTCTCAGCTCAGATGTTGCCTATTTAAGGAAAGTTCATCCTGCCTCCTTTTCTTTCCCTCACTGAAAATTGTGAGCATTTGTAATACTCTGCTTATTTTGTTTGCCTACCTCCCAGACCTGAGATGTCCGATAGGTAGCTAACCACATACGGCCGTTAAGCATGTGACGTGTGGCTAGCCTGAACTGAGATGTGCTCAAAGTGTAAAGTACACACTGGATTGTAAAGACTTAAAACAATAAAAAGGATGTAAAATGTCTCAATAATTGTTAAATATTGATTGCATGTTGAAATGATAACATTTTGGATATACTGGATTAAATAAAAACATTTTTTTTTAGATTTTATTTATTTATTTGAGAAAGAGAGAATGAGAGAGAGCACATGAGAGGGGGGAGGGTCAGAGGGAGAAGCAGACTCCCTGCCGAGCAGGGAGCCCGATGCGGGACTCAATCCCAGGACTCCAGGATCATGACCTGAGCCGAAGGCAGTCACTTAACCAACTGAGCCACCCAGGCGCCCAAATAAAAACATTATTAACAACGTGTTTCTTTCTACGTTTTTAATGTGGCCACTAGAAAATTTAAGATTACACGTGTGGCCCACATTATATTTCTATGGGGCAGTGCTGGTCTACACTGTTAGCTGTCGAAGGTAGGAACCATCTCTGCCTTAGCCACCTCTGGGTCCCTAGTACCTACCATATAGTAGGTGCTCTGTAAGCATTTGTTGTAGTTTTTATGAGAATCCTGTGCACAGGGAGAGATGAGACAGGCAGCCCCATGTACACTGTGAATTTGAGGAAGAAAGAAATGCCAAAGACAGTTTTATCTCTCTCCAGTCACTGCATTTCAAACAGGTTCTGTCAACTCTCCGTCCTGCTCTGTACTAACATTTCCCCCATAATCACCTACTACTACGGATGCGGGGCGGAGGGTGCCTGGAGGACCCAAGCTGGCTAGGCTGCTTCTATTTCAGACCCATAGGAGGTGCCCGGTCTCAAGTATTTTACATCTTCAGGTTTGGTCCTAGCAGCCAGAAAGGGCTCACCTCCACACACTGAGACACACAGACGGGGCAGCTGGGAGCCAAGGGGAGCTGTCCAGGGTCACCCAGCAGGTCAGAGCTGAATAGGGCTTGGAACCTTTTCAGGTCCAGTACTCTGGCCTCTAACTACATCCTACTGTAGTCTCCTTTATTCCAAGGGACCCAGGCGTCTGGAACCTCCCCCCTTGCCTCCCTCTCCTCACATTTTACCTCTGATCTCTTGAGGTCCCTGAGGGCAGTTATGCCTGGTCTCAGCAGAGCTGACCCAGATGGCATCATCCGCATAGAGGCCAATGTGGATGGGATGAAGGGATGGGAGGGAGGGAGGGAGGATGGAAGGAATGATGGATGAATGGATGGATCGAGGGAGGGATGAATGGGTGGACTGGAGGATGGGAGGGCGGATGGCCGTATGAGTGTGGGGAGGAGGACGGCTGGCTGGTAGGATGCCTGCATGCGGGCGGGGTAGCAGTGAGGATGTACGGAAGGAAGGAATTACCCACACAGTATCTGAATATAGGGGGACCCACAGCGATCCAAGTCCAGCCCCCGTCACGTTTCTGCTAGGAAACCGCGGCCAGGCCGAGGGAGCGCCAGGGCCCGCAAGGAGGTCCCGGGCAGCGCCGGAGCTGGGATCTGAGTGGCTGCGGGGCCGGCCGGGGACTCTTCCCGCCCCCGCGCCCACCCCGCCCGCGCCTGACGGTGCCAGGTGGGGGGAGCGCCCCGCCCCCACCTCCGGAGGTGGCGGCCCCACGTGGCCCAACAAGCTGCCGTTGTCCCGCGGGCCCCGGGCCCGGCACACTGGGGCTTTGTCCAGCCCCCCGCCGCGACCCACGGTGGGGGGGGCCCCACATGACCGAGGGGGTAGGAGGAGCCTGCGGCGGTGGTGGCGGCGGCGGCGGCGGCGGCGGCTCCACCACCATTTCCCTCCCTGGCCGGGGGTCGGCGGGCGGTGGCGGCGGCGGCGGCGGCGGCAGCGGCGGCGGCCGGGCAGGGGCCCCTGTTCCCCGCCAGGCTGCAGGCGCCGGGCCTGGGCCAGCAGGGCAGCTGCGACCCGAGCGCTCTCCGGGCGGCGAGCTGGGGGTGCGCCCGGACCCCCGCCCCCGGGATCATGGGGAATGGCATGACCAAGGTAGGGGGGCGGGGATCGCGCAGCCCGCACCTGGCCGCCCCCAGCCCCGCCGCGGTGCCGGCTCCGCCCGCGTCGCTGTGCCCGCCTCTGACCTTCTGGCCCTCACCCGGAGGCTCCGTGTGTCTAGATCTCTGTCTCCCGGTGACTCTCTGACCCTGCATCCCTGTGTCTCTCTGCTCTCGTCTCTGTCTCTCTGTGTGTCTCTGGCTTCGGTCTCCGTGTGTCGCTGTCTCTGCCTGTTTCTGTGACTCTGTATTTCTTGTTGGGTCTTTCTGTGGCTCTCTGTCACTCCACACTCTATCTCTCTGAGTCCCTTTCCCTGTCTCCAGGTGTCTCTGTCTTCCTTGTCTCTGACTCCTTGGACTCTCTCTCTGGTGCTGTTTCTCCATCTTTACCCCTCTGCCTCTGCATGACCCTCCCCCTGTCCCTGCCTTCCCACCTCCCTCCTCAGAATTCCCCACCACCCACCTGGCAAATTCACCTCTCCCCTTGCCCCCCTCCCCTATGTTCCTCCTCTCCTCCCCCTTTCAAGCTCTCACCCCTACCCAAGCTGGCCTCCCCTGGTGCCCTCCCTCCTGCCCTCCCCAGCCCCTCTCACAGAGTCCAGGCCCAGGAGGGGGAGGAGATTGCTCCCTGAGTCCTGGGGTCCAGACACCTGTCATGGGATGGAGATGGGCTGTGGGCCCCCAGCTAGCCAGTGGGAAGGCGTGCACCCCTACCCCACTGACCCTAGCCTGTCTCTCCTGTAGGTACTTCCTGGACTCTACCTCGGAAACTTCATTGGTGAGCACTGCCCACTCTGTCCCAAGGCCATGGCACTCTGCCTGTCCCAGGCCTGTGTCCACCATTCATGCTCTGGCCCACGCACCTTGGAAGCGCTCAGGAATGGGGCTGGGGGCAGGGAAGCAAGGCCAGGCTGGGAGGGAGAAGGAGCTCATGAGGACCAAGGGATATGTGGGTTGGGGAGTGTCCCCAGTGCAAAGGGCTTGCAACACCTGCCAGATGCCAGGCAAGTCTGCACCTGCTCTGAGCCCCAGGCTCTCCCTCAGCACGAGGCCCACTCACCTCTAAGGGCTCTTACAGCCCTGAGGTTCTGGGTTGAGGTCTGTTCGAGGGTGCTGCTTCTAGCTGGGAAGCTGGGAACCTTCCCCCTACAACCTTCTACACAGAGGGGAGATCTCTGGAGACTGGACTCTACCCCAGAAACTTGTTAGTGAGCACCACCCACTCTGTCCCAAGGCCACGGCCCTCTACCTGTGCCTGGCCTGTGCTGAGACCGGCTGATCCTGAGACTCCATACTTTTCCGTGTGGAGTCAGAGAAATCTTCAGAGAGGAAGGGGCACCTGCACCAGAACAGGGCTTTCTCCATCCACGCCTGCCCCCTTCCCCGCCCCCCCCCCCCCGCCCTGGCATAGGTGCTCCACTCCCATAAATCTGATCTCCTCCTCCCTGGGAGCCACCCCAGCCGTTCATGCTACTTGATTTTTGAGTATTGAGCCAAGGAAGCTCTGGATCCTCTTGAAGTCTGCAACCCCATGAGGGCAAGGGGTATGAAGTTGCCCCTACACCTCCATGCCCAGCCAAGGCTGCACATAGTAAGCACACAGGAAACGTGTTGAATGAAGTAGACCTATGGAGAGAGAGGGGATATGTGTTATTTATTCTGATTCTAAAAGATCCACATACACTGGATTCCAGCCCCTGGAGACAGCCACCGATAGAAGTGTGAGGTTTATCCCTGTGTCAGTTTTCATATATCTTTGTAGATGCAGATGTAACATTTAAAACAAAAATGGAAGTCTATTCTGCATGCTGTCCAGTCACCTGTTTCCTATTTGATAATATACTGTGGACATGCTTGCACATCAGCACAGAGAGGTCTTTTCTATCCAATGGCTGCACAGTATTCAAGTATGGATATACCATTATTTATCCAGTTCTCTCAGGGTGGACGTGTAGATTGCTCCCACTTTTTAACAATTTCTGGTGTGTTTACTGTTACGAGCAGTACTGCAAAGAACATCATCTTCTACACACAGCTTTCTGAGTGAGCAAACCCTTCTGTAGACAGGATTCCCGGAAGTAGAGTTGCTAGATCAAGGATATGCCAGGAAAGGGTGTTTGCCGTGGAAGGAACTGCAGGGGTAAGGCCGGGAAGAGGCTGGGCTGTTACTTGTGGGTGCCCCAGCGCCAAGACTGAAGCCTAGAGGTGTGGTGGGATCTGTCAGGCCAGGAGCAGGAGGTGGCCAAGGAGCAGGAAGCTGGCAGAGGGTGGGCCAAAGTGGAGAGGGAGGGGTGGGGAGGAGAGCTGGGCAGCGAGCTCCCACCTCTCTTGGCCGTCAGGGACACATAAGTCGCACTGACCAGATGGGCTCAGGCATTTTGTTTCTTTCAGATGCCAAAGACCCGGACCAGCTGGGCCGGAACAAGATCACACACATCATCTCTATCCACGAGTCACCCCAGCCTCTGCTGCAGGTACTCTTTACCCCTGTCCTTGGGCTGTATACAGGTGCAGAGGGGAGCTTCAGTGCCCCCACAGCACCCATTTATCAAGTACTTACCATGTGCCAGGCCCTGTATTGCCTCTCTGACCCATACTAGGTCATTCTGTTAAAAACTGACTTGTTTTACATCAGCATCCCCATTTGATCCCTATTTGTTAAGTGAGGTCCAGAGAGGTAAAGTAACTTGCCTAAGGTCACACATCCAGGAGGCTAAGGAGCTAGGAGTTGATGCTCTGACCCCAGAGGACTCGCTGTGAACCTTAAAAAGGCCCCACACGGGCTTCCCTTTGCCTAACTGAATAGATGGCTACAAATGGATAATTCTGGGTTCTGTGTCTTACTGTGTAATCTTGGGCTGTAACTTCACCTGTCTGGGCTTCTGATCCCTCAGTCCTGTCTGCCCCCAGAGGGGCTGTTGTGAGGATGCAAAGGGGCTGCAGGATGGTGAAGATGCTTTGCACACAGTAAAGCATGGCGCCCACTGAAAGGATTGGTGTTGGTTTTATGGAGTCCTGGAAAAGAGAGGGTAAGGGTGTTCTAACCCAGAAAAGGAAAGTAGTAAATCCAGACCACTTTTGTAATCTCGGGCACAGGACTTCACCATTCTGAGCCTCAGTTGCCTGATCTGTAAAATAGGAATTTTATAAAGATTTATTTATTTATTTGAGAGAGAGAGAGAGAGCATGAGCAGGAGGGTAGAGGGAGAGAGAATCTCAAGTAGATTCTGCGTTGAGTGCGGAGCCCGATGTGGGGCTCAGTCTCACAACCCTGAGACCCTTGACATGAGCAGAAACCACGAGTCAGACACTCAACTGACCGCACCACCCTGGATTGGTGATTTTATAACAGCACCTACCTCACTGAGTTGTTGAGAGCCACATAACAGCCAACAAATTACAGCTGATATAGCAAAGTTAATCATATTCTTATCCCATAAATAGAGCCCCTTCCTCCTTATCTATTAGAGTGTGTGTCCCCCACTAAAGGGGAATTAATTGTGGGTGGAAAAGGGCTCTGGAGATCTGAAATCCAAACCAGATTCTATCCCAGATTTGCTGTGTGACCTCAGATAGGTTCCTTCCCCTCTCTGGGCCTCAGTGTCCCCATGTGTCAGCGTTGATGGTCTCTAAAAGCAACCTCCAATAATCTGTGATTCTCAGTGTCATTCAAACAAGAGATTTCCAGGTCAGTGGAGTCTGATTTTCTTTATAGGACAGGCTTGTTTTGGAGTGTTTGGAGTATGCAGTCACTAGATTGCACAGGGAAGGTTGTCAAGTCATGAATAGATTGACTAATGAAATGACTGCTTGCCAAACGAGTCCCCACTCCAACAGCCTTCCCTTCTTCCTACAGGCAGCCCTGCCTCCCCATCTATCAGTGAATTTACCAGTCAGGGTTTGATAATGCCAAGCAATCCCAAGGCCAAATGTGTCACAAAGTGAAATTGCAAACCTTGCAAAAGATGCAGGATGGTGTGACCTTGGGAAAAGTGAGTCAGAGAAGGGCTGGAATCTCACACATAGCCATTAACAAGTGAGGACCTGGCCTGGGGCCCCTTAGTCAGGAATGGTGGTGGGCCTGGCACTGGAAAACAATCATTTGAGTATCAAAGGATTAAAAGAGGTCCTTGAGAAAAGTGATTCTTGGAACAGGAGCACAAATCATCTTTATGATCTTGGGTGAAGGTTAAGCATGAAGTAAAGGATGTCATAGCCAGTTTGTGGGAGACAATTCATCCCTTGATTATTTTAATAATAGCACATAGTTTTATAACCACAATTAATGAGCTATAAACTTATTTTCATGGTTTTTGTTTCTTTTCAAGATAATAAAATCTGTTTTTAATAAGACCTTTAAAAAACCTTTTTTGGGGGATGCCTGGATGGCTCAATCGGTTAAGCGTCTGCCTTTGGCTCAGGTTATGATCCCAGGGTCCTGGGACTGAGCCCCGCATTGGGCTCCTTGCTCAGTGGAGAGCCTGCTTCTTCCTCTCCCTCTGCCTGCCACTCCCCCTGCTTGTGCTCTCTCTATGAAAAAATACATAAATAAAATCTTAAAACAAAACAAAAAAATGCTTTTTTAAATCAAGTAATCTCTCTACATCCAACGTGGGGCTTGAACTCACAACCCGGAGATCAAGAGGCTCATGCTCTACCAACTGAGCCAGCCAGGTGCCCCTGTTTTGCCCTTTTTTTGGTGTAATTTTGTAATCCTCATTTGGAGGAGAGTCACTGTTACTGGCCCTTTCCCACCTATTAAATAAAAGCTTCCTGAATACTTTTTATCAAGTCCTCATGCCCAAGTCACCTATGAAGTTAGGATGCCATCTTCTCAGAAGGTTCTGGAACGACAGACAGATAGAGCTGGGAGGCGCTCAGAGGTGATAGCTACCCTCTTTGGATAGAGAGGGTTAACAGTGGCTCAGAAAGGGGCAGGAACTGGCCTGGGGTCATGAGGTGCTCGGCAGCCCTGGCCAAGGTCAGGGGTGCAGCCAAGGGCCCCCCACTGCCCATGTGTATTTTGTACTTGCAGGACATAACCTACCTTCGCATCCCTGTGGCGGACACCCCCGAGGTACTCATGTAAGTTCTCTGGAGGCACCAACAGGGGTGTCTTCTGTGGTGGTGGTGGTGGTAGGGAGGGGGAGAGGTGGTCTGGGGGAGGAAAGAGAGGACTCACGCCAGAAAGCTGTCCTGGGAAGCCCAGCACAAGTGCTCACTCAGACCTCTGTTTGACTCTGTGTCAGCTACGCCCTTGCCAATGCCCCTGGCTGCAACCTTTAACCTCCCAGAGCTCAGTGTCTTCAGCTGTGAAATGGAGAGAGTACCCAGACTTGAAGTGGTTAGGCTCAGCCGGTTCCTGGCCCTGGAGTTAAGACATCCGGGCTCCATCCAGGCTTTGCCATTTACTTGCTGTGTGACCTTGCAGAAATCACTTTCCTTCTCTGAGATCAGATGGCACAGGTTGAGGATCCGGGACAGGGCCTGGCATGTAACGGGGACTCAGAAAACAGGATTTATTTTGTTATGAGCAGCAGTGCCTCCCAGCCTGGGAGTGACCCACAAAGACGCTCCTCCCAACCCATGGCTGACCAGCATTGTCCCTGCAGTCAAGCGCTCCGATTGCACACCCCAGAGGAGTGGGACTCCTCTGTCTCCTCCCACCCATGTCCTTGAAAGACCAAGATAAACCCTCCATGAAAATAGGATCCACAGACCCCACTGGGGAGGTGCTCCTGCCTCTGTGGTGGGATTTCTCGTCATCAGCCCCTTTCACTGCCTGAAATGCCCCTCTTGTGGCTTCACACCCCGCTCCCCTTGTACTGTAGTCCAGACCCTGTTCGCCGCTTGGGCTGGCTGCCCTGAGGACCCAGGGCTCTTGACAGCCCATCAGTGCAGAGGGGGACAACTCCTAGGACACCTGCCCCCCAATGTTCCCGACCCTATTGCTTTCTTCTCTAGCAAAAAGCACTTCAAAGAATGTATCAACTTCATCCACTGTTGCCGCCTCAATGGGGGGAACTGCCTTGTGCACTGGTGAGTTAAGAGAGGAATGAGGGGAGCAGGTAAGGGGCTGTCCTCCATTACACGCACGCACTCACCCTATGGGGCATGAGGAACCTGGGCTGGACCTTCTCCAGCCCGTTGCCATGCATGACAGTCGGCCATTCACCTGAGGGCGGCTGATCGGGGGCTCCAGTCAGGGCTCTGTCCCTTACCAGCTGTGTGGCCAAGGCCAAAGTGCTGTTTCTCCCTGAGACTCCCATTTCCTCATCTGTAAAATGGAGAAAAGACTGTTGCCTGCTGGGCTATCAGGAGGGGATAGGTGAGGTCACGCAGGTAGCCCAGCACCCTCCAACTGTTCTGGCTCCCTCTCCTCCCCTCCAGGCTTTTGAGGAAATAGGGCAGAGCAGTGGGGAACCCCAGGCTGGGAGACAGGACTCACAGCAACCCCTCCCCCCCACACACACACCAGTTGATGTCATTCATCCCATAACTTCCCACTGAGCACCGACCCTATGCTGGGCTCAGGACGGCTCTGCCAGAGCCCTAGTCCTAAGAACAGCTCCTCCAGCCTGTCTGTCGCCCTCTGCCCCTCCTTCCCCCACTCCAGCTGCACTGGCCAACTCCCCACCCTTCAAATCCACCAGCTCCCACCTCACGGACTTCGAACACTGCCCAGAACATTCTTGACTGACCCTTTCCCATCTCTCAGGACTCAGCTTGATGTCATTTCCTTGGAAACGCCTACCCTAATCCCTCCCCAACCCCTCCACTAGATTAATACCTTTTCCTATATGATCTCTTAGCCCCTGGACTCCTCTTCAGAGCAGTTAGCACCACCTGAAAGTGTTTCCCTGGTTAGTGGCCGTCTCACCCAGCCATCTTGGAAGCCCCAGGATAGACCATGTCTGTTTTCTTCCCCACCATATATCGCCAGTACCTGAAAAATAACCGATGGTCAGGAAATGTTTGTTGAATGAATGAATGAAGTGATGTTCCCACGTCAGAGGCCTGAGTTCCCCGGGGCACACTCCAGGCAGAAGGAACAGCATGGGCAAAGGAACAGCATGGGCAAAGGAAGTGGGAAAACAGGTCGGGGCAGGCTCTTTGTGACTGGAGCTGAGAGGCGAGGGTGGGCGGGCTGAGGTGGGGCGGGGGTGTCTGGGGGCAGGGCAAGGCGGCGATTGGGCCTTCCCTGAAGCCTGGCGGGCGGGGCGGGCCCCCAGCTTTGCAGGCATCTCCCGCAGCACCACCATCGTGACGGCTTATGTGATGACTGTGACGGGGCTAGGCTGGCGGGACGTGCTTGAAGTCATCAAGGCCACCCGGCCTATCGCCAACCCCAACCCAGGCTTTAGGCAGCAGCTTGAAGAGTTCGGCTGGGGCAGTGCCCGGAAGGTAGGGCCCGTGGCGGAGGCAGGAGCTAGCCCGGGCTGCGGGACTCATCTTCCCGCTTGAGTTGAGCACTGGCGGGAAAGAAGTCAGACCTGACAGGAGATTTTTCTGGGGGTTTCGAACTCGTGACCCTTGAGCTAATCTAGCCTCTAGGTGTATCTTGTTCGGTCAGCCAGATGTTATCTTTTCCTTTTTAGTTTAGTATTTGGATGCCTTTGGGCCAGACTATGGACCCTTCAGTGTGACCAGGTCCCAGCACCGCCTGCTCTACCCGCCTGGCACCTGAAGGCATCTGAATGTTTGACCCCTCTGGGGAGAGATGTCCATTCCCTACTCCACCCCTGGGTCCCTGAGAGGCCAAAGCATCTCCTTCTCTTATGCCCACTGGGCGGATGGCACATGGAGAGGTCAGGAACCTGGGAATAAGGGATGAGAGAGAGGCAGCAGGTGCAGGAAGGCTCTCCTCAGGTGCCAGGCTGGTACTCAGAGGCTTATCTGCGAGGCTGCTGGACGAAAGAGGCAGGCAAAGAGGCCGCCAGTGCGGAGGGGGTTGTTGCTCAGGGAGGAGGATTCGGGTGGGCTCCCCATCCCACCCCGGGCCCGGGGGCGGGCGGGCGGGCGGGCGGGCGTCGCTTTAGCAAGTCTGGAAGATGGCGTGGCAAAGGGGAAGGGAGTTCAGGAGAGGGAAGGGACTCGGAGGAGGAGGAGGGGGCTCCATGAGGGCGATGGAAACTCAGCAGGGAGGCTGAGGGGAGGCTCGGGAAGGGGAGGGGCCTGGCGAGGGGTGGGGAGCTCGCGGGCGGGCGGGCGGGAGCGACGAGCGCTGCGGAGCGGAGGGGACGGGCCGGCAGCCTGGCACCGACCGACCCCCGGCTTCCCCCCCGCCCCCCCAGCTCCGCCGGCAGCTGGAGGAGCGCTTCGGAGAGAGCCCTTTCCGCGACGAGGAGGAGGTGCGCGCGCTGCTGCCGCTCTGCAAGCGCTGCCGGCCGGGCCCCGCGCCCCCCGCGCCCCCCGCGCCCCCCGCGCCGCGCTCGGCGGCCTCCGAGGGAGCCCTGCAGCGCCTGGTGCCGCGGCCGCCCCGCGAGGCCCACCGGCCGCTGCCCCTGCTGGCGCGCGTCAAGCAGACTTTCTCTTGCCTCCCGCGGTGTCTGTCCCGCAAAGGCGGCAAGTGAGGATCCCGGCCCGCCCTGGCGCCCCTCTTCCTTCCGACCGGTCCCCCACCCCCACCCCACCCTCGGGGCTGCCTGGGCCTCCCCCGGCCTCCAGGACGCGCCCGGAGCCTGCGGGAGCCCCGCGGCGGCCTGAGCCCTGCCCCTGCCCCTGCCCCTGCCCCTGCTGCCCGCCCTGCTTGTCTGCGTCTGCAGTCTGTCCGTCCTCCATCCGTGCGTCTCTGTGTCGGGGCTGGGCCTGCTGCAGCCACTTGGTGCCTTAGTCCTTGGGCTGGGGGGAGGGGGCACCCGGGCCTCCACCCTTAAAGGCAGCGGGAGTGGGAGTGGGTGGGTGGGGGAAGCGGGCGGATGGGCCTGGAGGATATTAAAGAGACACAGAAGCTGTCTGTCTGAGCTCCTCCTAGTCATTCAGCAAGGGGCAGGGATGCAGGACTCTGCGGGGCTGGAGCCTGCAGGAAACAGGGCTGGGAGGGGGTCTGCATCCCCTAGGGTCTGGAGGAGCCAGCCACCTCCCAAAAACTGCTCTGGGCAGAGCTGAATTCCAGGACTCCATTCATTGCCCTGAGGCCCCCCCCCCATATCTCTCCCTGAAGCCCTGGTCTCCTGAAAAGGCCCCTGAATCCCTCCTTCTCTCTGAACCCCCTTCCCCCTCTGAGTCCTTCTCACCAGCTCCCTCCTCTTCCCTATTCACAAATACTAGCTAGTAAGCTGTCCAAATAGTGCCTCCTTCATGCCTGACTTTTTATATGCATGGGTTCACTTAATCCCCGCGAGGAAACTGAGGCTCAGAAAGGGTAGGCAGCTTGCCTGAGGACAGCTAGAGTAGGGGAGGCTGGATTTAAACCTAGGCAGTCTGTGTCCCATGGTGGCTGTTAAGAAGTAGTTCCTTGGTGCCTTTTGGTGGTGACTTGTTTAAGTTCTTTATATATGTTGCATATTAACTCCTTATTGGATATATCATTTGCAAATATCTTCTTCCACTCAAGACCCTTCCCACCTAGAGCTTAAAGGCCAGGGGGCAGCCCAAGCAAGCAGCAAACTGTCCCAAGGGTGAACAGAGGTCATCTGAGCTGAGTTTTCTGAACTAAAAGTAACTTGGAATTGAGAGGGGTCTGAAAAGACTCCAATCTAATAGCCACCTGTATGGGGTCCCTGTTATGCACCAAGCACTGTGTTCAGGGCTGTGGGGGAAGCCCAGATTCCAGTATTGGGGGTGGGAGGATGGATGAAATAATCCTCACCTGTTGCCCAGCCTCCTCAGGAAACTGAGTTTGATGTCCAAGGTCACCAGCTGGCAAGTGGTGGGGCTGGGATTTGAATCCAGGCAGTCTGGCTGGCAAGTTGAGGGAACCCTATCCTCCTAATCACTATGACTTTGCCACCCAGAAAAATGGAAAGATTGTCTGACACACTTAAGATTCCCACTTAGATGTAATTATTACACTTGGATTTATTCCTATGAGATGCTTTGCACCCCCTCTCCCCCTCCCCCCGGAGGCCTACAGGTGAGTCCGAATCGTGACTTTAACTGTAGAGGGCTCAGAACTGAGTGGCTGCTGGCATGGGAGAACAGAGGGTGGGGAGCATGAAGAAGGCCCCCCCTAACAGGTGCACATGAAGGGCAGTACTCCCAGCCTCCGGTCAACGCTGACCGGGCATCCAGCTCTGTGCTCATTCGGAGTTTTAGTTTCCCTGTGTACACAACAAAGGCTGGAGTGGCCTGAGCTACTTGCCCTCTTTCAAATTGCAAACTCCCTTTGACAATTAAATGAAAGATACAAACCCCAGGAAAATGCATAAACATGAAAAAAATTGTATATACTTTCTGGGGGAGGGGTGTCCCTAAACCCCAGGTGTAAGCTGTTGGGAGATAATGTGGGGCACTTTTTAGGCTCCTGGGCTTTGGGGGCAGAGAGACAGAGGTTCAGGTCCTGACTGCCTCCACATACTAGCTCTATGACCTTGTTGCAGGGCTTTAACCTCTCTGAGCCTTATTCTTCTTAATAATAAAATGGGTAGACTCATCTCACACGCTGTGGTGAGAACAGAGACCCTGCAGGAAAGGCTTTAGCCAGGCCAACACCATAGTGAGCCATCAGTAGATGAGGACTCCCAGTATTTAAAGAAGTATTTCTCCAGGTGTGGCCCACGGACCACCTGGATCAGAATCCCACGGGAGAACTCGTTAAATGCAGATTACTGGCTTCTTGCCCAGAAAGTCTTTTTCTGCAGGTCTGGTATGGAGGCAAGGAGTGTACATTTTAAACTAGTCTCTGCCTCCCAATTCTGATGGGAGTTAGTCCAAGAAGCACTATGGCTTTATAACCTGTACAGTCCAGGTGCTAGAAAAGATCTGGGAGTTCCCCACAGGCTGGGAAGAACAGAGAACAGGTGCACGGGTGGCGCAAGGGATGCCTCTGGGTGCCCGCCGGGGCCCCTCTACGGGGACAGACAGATCCCTGGCTATCCTCCCCGTACCCTCCAGTGGGTCTTGGCGTCCCACCGTGCCTCTAACTGCCCCCTCCGTGCGGCGGCGCGACGCCCTCCAAGCCAGGCTACCACAGAGAAGGGCGAAAGGATAGGGCCTCCCGGATCAGGGGACAGAAAAGAAAGCGAAACTCGCCCATCCAGAACTTTCGCTTTCGCCACCTCCGCACGCCATCCAGGTGGCTTCCCGACTCCCTGTCGCGCTGGGGTCCCAGCCGCCACACGCCCCAGAACTGGCCTCTGGCTCCCGGCGTCCCGGATGGCCGGCGACCCCTGGTGGAGGGAGGAAGGGAAGGTCCCCGACGGCAGGCGACCGATGGCGGGGGCTGGGGGTCCCCTGCGCCTCCGCGACTGGCTGGTGGCACAGATCGAGAGCGGGCGCTACGCGGGGTTGCGCTGGGAGGACGCAGGCAAGACCCTCTTCCGCATCCCCTGGAAGCACGCGGCCCGGCAGGGCTATCGGGCGCAGCAGGACGCGGCACTCTTCAGGGTAAGGGGGCTGGAGCGGTGGGACGCCCAGGCTGACCCGCGGGCTGTGTGACCAGGGGCCACTCGCTTGTCCTTAGCCTCAGCTGTCTCTAGGTTGCGGAGAGTGTTATGCATCTACGGGAGACCCTCCGACGCCCTCCTGAAACAATCAGCCAAAGGCGCAATCCGTGCACCATCCCCACCTCTCCTGGGGCCTCTCCTCCCTCTCTCCCCACAGGGAAATTGGACGCCACCCATGGGGATTCCCACAACCTTCCCCCCTCCAAAGCGCCCATCCCAGCAGCTTGGGGACGAGTCCTGTGCTTCCCCATACCAGCCCTTCTCAGGGACTGCCTCCAGGGATGCCCTCCCTTGCCTCAGTCCTCATTAACTTCAAACTCCTTCCCATCAACCCTGAAATTCTAGAATCTCTCCCCTGGGCAATTAATCAACCAACTGCCTGTCGGGCCACTGCCACCACCCCAAACACCACAGCCACTTCCAGCTCCTACTTCTCTGGCCTCCTCTCTCCTTTCACAGGCTGAAGGGCCTGGTCATCAACTCTCTCACTCATAGCCCCCAGTTCCTCACCCCCCACCCCGACCCCTCGTCTGGCTTCTGTCCCTCCTGCTAACATCACTAGTTGCCAAATCCAAAGATCCCATCCCTGTCATCTTTGACCCTTCGATGTGTCTGGGCCTGGTGGACCCCTCCTCCTTGAAACTCTCTCACTTGGTTTCCAGAATCTGCCCCCACCAGCACTCCGGCTCCATTTTCCTCCTACCTTGCTGCCCCTCCCTTCTCAGCCTCTCCCCTCCTCCCCTCCTCTTTGGGTGCTCTCAGCACTGCTCCAGGACCCCCCTCCTCATAGCTTACTCTCTCCTCCACAGCCTGGGCATGAGCCCTACAGTTCCCAGCCTCCCCTCCAGGCTCCAAGCCTGCTGGTCTCATGGCCCCCAGAACTCTCAAACTCGGCACATCATCAGTACCCCACTTAACAGCTCGCCTCGACAAACTTGTGTGTGTCCCCAAATGGAAAATGGCACCGATTGTCACCCAGACCCCAGGGCCAGGCACCTGAACCCTGGCCCCTCTCCTGCCTTCCAGGCTCATTGCACTCTGTCACCAAGGCTTGCTGGGTCTTCCTACAGAAGCTTCTCTGCAGTCCGTCTGCTTGGACCCATTCCCACTGTCTCTCACCAGGACAATCCCAGTGACCTCACAGAGCTCCCAACTTCCCCCTGCCCTTCATTTCTCCCCTGGGTCCTCCAGGGAGATCTTCCTAAATGTAAATCTTGCCTTGACATTTCTCTACTCAGAATCCTTCTTTGGGTCCCCATTGCTCTTGTGATAAAGTTCTAACTCCTTACCAAGACGTCAGAGCAGCGCATGAACTGCTCCTCCCTGGCCTCATCTCTCCCCACCCTTCTCTTCCTGGCTTTAGATCTGCCCTGACAGTTCTTTCAGTTTCTAAATGCTTCACGTCTCTCTCACTGTTAGACCTTTGCACTTGCTGCCCCCCCTGCCCAGAATACCCTCTCCTCTTCACCTTCAGCTGCCATCATGCGCAGCTGAAACATCGCCTCAGGAGCCTTCCCTAATGCATTCACTGGTTGAATGCGTTGATTAAGCTCCAACTCCGTGCTTTTCTTGGCCATCCCTGATTCCTTCCACTTCCTCCATTGGAATGACTTCCCCTGCAGCAGACTGCCTCCAGCTACCCGAGGGTCATGACACTGAGCGCAGGGCCTGGCCCACGGAAGGCGCTCCATGAGTGTTGAACATGGGGAGTTACATGGCCTGTCCCTTAGGACCATGTGCTGTTCGGAGGAGGGAGATTCTGAGGGCTGGCCCTCCCCTCCCCTCAGTCCACCACTGACCCACGCGAGTGACTCCCTGGCTTCACACGTCCTGGTGCCCCAAAGGGCATGGGATGAAGCTTGGCCGGCAAGGACCTTCATGATTCAGCTCCCACCTGGCTCTTTCTTAATTCCTCTTCCCCTTTCCCCACCACATGCAGTCGATCCTCATTATTCACGGATTCCGTATTTGCAAATGTGGCTTATTCGCTAAAATGTAGTTGCAATTCCAAAATCAATACCCAAGGCACTTTTTCCACCCACGGCCATGTGCAGAATGGCGAAACAGTCAGGGCCCCAGACGTGCATCCCCCTCCGAGGCTGAACAAGGTGGCGCTCTGCCTTCTCCTTCCATCTTTTCTACTGGAAACACGTGTCCCTTTCAAGGGCTATTTAGTGCCACGTTTTTCGTATGTTTGTGCTGTTTGTGGGTGACTTGACTATTTAAAACGGCCCCCCCAGCCTGTGGAAGGCTGAAGCGCTGTCTGATGTGCCCACACACGGAGAGGCTGTGATGTGCCTTACGGAAAAAATACATGTCAGACAAGCTTCGCGCAGGCGAGAGTCGCAGTGCCGTCGGCCCTGAGTTCAACAAAGCAACAGTTTATATTAAAGTATTTCTTCAACTTAGAAACACACATAAAACAAGGCTAGCTGCTGATTAGTTGATGAAAGTGGTGTGACCAGAGGCTCACAGGAACCTCGAGCTGCACCTGTTGGTTCAGCATTGGTGTAGATTTTAGAGAACAGGACTCCCACGAATGTGGGGAACCGACTGGACACATACCCTCAGATGTGCATCCCCAGCCCCAGCGACAGCAGGCTGCTGGCTGTCCCCCCAAATACACCATGCTCTTGCACACCCGCAGGCCTTTGCCCAAGCTGGTCTGCCTGCCAGGAATGCCATTCCACCTGGCAACTTCTTACTCACCCTCGAGGCCCAGCTCAGTTTGCCCCACAAATACTCACAGAGCGTCTCCGCTGCACCAGGCCCCACTCTAGGCCCTGGGGGACACAGCAGCAGATGCAGCAAAGGTCCCTCTTTCACCATGGTGATAGCACCCTGTGCCCTGTGCCCAGGTTAACTTTCAGTTATAGCCTTACTCTAGTGAACAAAAGTGCAGTAAGTAAGCACTGACCGTGTGCCAGGCACTGTGCTAAGCACCCTACATGGACCACTCATCCTACTGCCCTCACCACCCCATCAGGTTAGGTATCATGTGCACAGTTTGCAGGCAGCCCAATCAAGCCTTAAAGGTCTCACTGCTGCCAAGGGGCACCAACCCAGGAGCTGGCTTTTCTGTTTGGTGACCATGTTTCCCCACCGGGCCTGGAATCTCTGAGGGCAAGGACTGAATGGGATTCATCCGTTAAACCCCCCCAGTCCTGAATGGGATCCTTGCAAGCAGCATATCTCCTCCTGCCTCCCCTATGACTCCTCTGCTCCAGCTACACTGGCCTTGCTTGAATCTTTCAATCTCTTCCCACCTCAGGACCTTTGCACTTGCTATTCCTTCTACGTAGACCACCCTTCCCCCAGCTCTTTGTTGGACTCCATCCTTTTCATTCAGGCTTCAGCTCAAATGCCAGCCACATCCTCCTAGAGGCATTTCTGAAGAACCCTCTAAAATAACCCCTCATATTCTTATTTATTTATTGAATGCCTCTACGTCTACAGTCACTCCAGTGTGTTTAACGAATCTCTTTGGTCTGTGTGTTTTCTTGCAGAGTGGGCATTGCTGTTTTGTGTGTACTCTTACCTTACACACTTCATGTTGGCTGTAGATCTCATTCTGTGTCTTCCTTTTTTTTCCCCCCCTCCGGATCATGCTCTGAAGATTTATTCTTGTTCTCTGTACATCTAAAGATTTTTTTAAAAATTTATTTGTCAGAGAGAGAGGGAGCACAAGCAGGAGGAGTGGCAGGCAGAGGGAGAAGCAGGCTCCCCGCTGAGTAAGGAGCCCGATGCGGGGCTCGATCCCAGGACCCTGGGATCATGACTCGAGCCAAAGACAGACGCTCAACCGACTGAGCCACCCAGGCGTCCCGCTGGGGGTGTTCTCGGTACATCTAATTTGTTGCTCCTGGATGCTTCTAGATGCTGCATGGACTCTATAGTGGGCATCCATGACCCACACACACCCCTCTCCACTTTCCCAGGGATGGACACAGGTTTGCTCTCCAGCACCACGAGCAACTATAGTGAACATCTTTGTCCTGCTCCCCTCACGAGCCTTTGTGAGAATTCCTTCGGAATTAGAATTTCTGCTCACAGGGTACATTTAGACTTATTTTGACAAGGTATGCCTGTTTACCATCCAAAAGCTCTGCACCATCCCACACCCACCAACAGTGTCCACATCCCCACCACCTCCTGGCATTATCCAACTCACTAAATATTTTGTTGGCTTATAGGTGATCGCTCACTTTTTTTTTTTTTTTTTTTTTAATGTAAGTAGGCTCCATGCCCAGCATGGAGCCCAACATGGGGCTTGAACTCACGACCCTGGGATCAAGACCTGAGCTAAGATCAAGAGTCAGACGCCTAACTGACTGAGCCACCCAGGCACCCCAATCGCTCACATTTTTATGTGCATTTCTCTGACGCTAATGAGTTTAAGTACATCCTCATATGCTCATGGGCTTCTGGCTTCCTCCTCCCTAAACCGCCCATTCTTGCCCTTTGATAAGAATTTTTTCTTTAGGGGATGTTCTCTGTTTCCTGTTGGTTTGCAAATTCCTTGTATGTTCTAAAATTAGCCCCTTGCCGATTTCAGACATTGTCTTTGTTTTGCTTTCTGGTCCATGCCTTTGAGGGGGTTCAGGAAGGCATTCTCTCCCCCTGGAAGAGTTTCCCCACATTATCTTCCATTAGCTTCCAGTTTCACCTCTCACCTTTGGTTTTTGAATCATCTGGAGTCCACTCTGTATGTGGCAATAGGTCAGGATTTAATTTTATAGTTCTCCGGATAGCAAATCACTGCCATTGTTTGATATCCCATCATCTTGTTTTTTTAAATTGATCACAATTCACAACTTGGAATATAGTTATTTCCAGTTGGCTGTTCGCAACTGTTTTCTCTCATTAGACTTGAGTTCCTGGAGAGCAGGGACCATGTCTGTCTTGTTCCTCATTTGGTCCCCAGCCCCTGGCTCGGGCCTGGCACCCGGTAGGAGCTCGAGGGATATGTGCTGGATAGAGGGAGGGAGGAACAGAGAAAAGGATGAAGGGGCAGAGGCCTGGAGGGAGAGAGAGAAGGGTGGGAGGCAAGGTAGGCCCCCCTCCCTCTGCACGACACCAGCCCCCTCCCTCTCTCAGGCTGTCCCTCCCCAAGTAGCCCTGCTCATCCCCAGGCCTGGGCCATACACAAGGGCAAGCACCTAGAGGGCATCGACAAGGAGGACCCCCCCACCTGGAAGACCCGGCTCCGCTGTGCCCTCAACAAGAGTGCTGACTTCTGTGAGGTGCGAGAGCGCAGCCAGCTGGACAGCCCCAACCCCTACAAGGTCTACCGGATTGTGGCCGACGGTGCCCGTGGCCCAGGTACCATCCTGCCCCTGGAGGTAGTGGTGGAGGACGGCTCTCTGGGCAATAAGGACCTCACCTTGCCCACCTGTAAACTGAGAAATGGTGGGCTCATTCAGCTTAAACTCAGGGGCTGGTAAACACAGAAGGACCCATAGACATTCAGTTTATCTTCCCATTAGAAAAGGAGGAAACTGAGGCCGGGAGAGAGGTGGGCCCTGCCTGAGATCACGCCATGATCCTCATGTGGGATCACCTCTGTTGGGGGGGCTCCCTTGAGGCCCAGGAGGCAACAGTCTGTCTCTGGCTCCATCCATCCAGTTGCCAGAGCTTGTGTTCCCCCTGAAAAGAAGAACATTCTTCAGAGCCAGCAGGAGCCCCCTGGAGAAGTGACAGAGCTGGCCTGCCGGACAGACCAGGTTAGGTGTCCTTCAAGCCCCCACAGCCTTGCCTGCTCCGTCACCTCTCCCCCGAACTGCCCTCGGCTCTCTCTGGCTCCGTCATGGGCCTATCCTCTCCCCCAGCTGCTGCTCCATCCCTGTCTCCCCCCCCACCCCACCCCCCTGCCAGCTCCACCTCCTGTTCCCTTTGCCTCCGTCATCTCTGGGTCCCCCGTTCCCTTCACCTCCACCATCTTCAGTTCCATCACCGTCTGCATCACCCTCTTCCCCCCAGATTCACCCCTTGCCCCCGTCATCATCGGGTCCATCGCTCCGTCCCCCTCAGATGCAGCTCTGGCACCACATTTCCCTCACCTTCATCCCCTCCAGCGCTCTTGCTGTCGCCACCACCCCAACATCTCCCCACCCCATCACTCTGTTGGTATCACCCCCACTACCGCCACCCCTCCCGCACCATCTGTGGTTCATTGCTGTGTCCCATCCCCCCACCAGCCTGGTCCAATCCACTGTCCCTAGCGCCTCCCTCACCATGCATTCCATATTCTGTCCCCCATCTCTGTCACCTCTGTCACCTCTGTCCCCCATCTCTATCTCCTCTGTCCCCATCTCTATCACCTCTGTCCCCATCTCTTCACTTCTGTCCCCCATCTCTGTCACCTCTGTCCCCATCTCTATCACCTCTGTCCCCCATCTCTATCTCCTCTGTCCCCCATCTCTATCACTTCTGTCCCCATCTCTATCACCTCTGTCCCCATCTCCATCTCCTCTGTCGCCTCATCTCTATCACCTCTGTCCCACCATCTTCTCATTTGCTCCCCACACTTCTCCCCCTAGCACAGTGAGCTTCATCTCCGACCCCATAACCTCCAACAACCCCATCAAGTCTTTACCTCTATGAGGGACAGGGTCTTGAGCTCTGAAACCTCAAAGTCTCTATCAACCCCAACTGGCCTGCAGTCTGCCCAGACCTCCTTCTGCCCCAGCGAGGACAGTCTGGGAATTCTTGCAGCCCACAGGCTCCTCTCCCACCCTCATAACCCTCTCTCCCAATGGCCAGGATGGCTCCAGATCAACCAAGGAGGATAAGGACAAAGAGCAATCTCCCAGGCTGGCCCAGCAGGGCTCCCTGCCACCAGCTGCCCGGCTCCCAGCCCCTCTGGCTGACCACAGTAAGGAACGGATCTCCTCAACCATCCCTGCCTCCTCTCTGGCCTCCTCCAGGACCTTGACCTAGGGATCGAGAGACCCAGGATGAGGTGGTGCCTGACAGCTGCCCCTCCTTCCCTAGGGTACCACGCACAGGACCCTACACGCCACTGGAGCCCCTTGCCCTCTGAGGACTTCGGCAACCGTGGTAAGGAATCTCAAGGCCCTCCCCTCTGATTAGTGTGCAGAACTGGGGAGAGCCAGGGGTCGGGGCCAGCTAGCCTTTGTCTTTCCCCCAAAGCACCCAGCCCCAATAACAAAAGCTAACATTCATTGAGGGCTTAGTTTATGCCAGGCATCTTTCGAAGCTCTCCCCGCAGCCTGGTGAGATAGATACTGCCATCATGCCCACTTTACAGAGACAGAAACCCAAGGCCGAGGTTAAGAACCTGGCCCCAAATCACACAGTTAGTAGCCCTGGGAAAGTTACTAGCGGGTCACAGCTCCTAAGTGGCAGTGAGACATCAGAATCCAAGGGCCTGACTGCAGAGCCCCCAACCCTAACTGCTGAGCATCGTTCTGGCCCCTCACATGGAGCCTATTGTGTTGTTGTTGTTTCTATCAGCATTAAATTATTTGCTGGGCAGGAGCTCCTAGAATCCCAGAGGTTAGGACTGGAAGGGCCCTAGTGTCACGCCCCAATTGTACAGATGGCCCCAGATCCTATCCTTTTGACCATGGAGCTCAACTACCAGTTCATTTATACTGGAAGCTACTGCCATTTACTACTACTAGAGTTATTATTTCTCCGGAGGGAGCACCCCAAATTCCCGAGGTGGGGGCAGGCAGGACCTGGGGCTGGGGGCGTGGTCAGTGCTGGGGCCGCTAACACCCCGCAGATTGCTAGCTGCACGTGCGGCTGTTCTACGGTGCGTGAAGCCACCGCGCGCACGGCCAGGGCTGCCGCCTGAGTCCCCGGGCGGTCCCCGCGGCCGAGCGCCTGCGGGGGCCGCCGCCGCGCCTCGCGCAGGTCCGCTTCCCGGAGCCCGGCGCCCGCGAGCTGCAGCGCTTGGGGCGGCACCCGGGGCGGGGCGTGCTCGCCGAGCGCCTGTGCCGGGGCCGCGGGTACCCGCCGGGCCCGCTCCGCCTGCACCGCGCGCCGCCCGACAAGCCGGAGCGCGGGCGCACCTGCCAACTGCTCGACACGCGCCGCTTCCTCGAGGGTAAGAGCGCGACGGCCGGGCCGCTGGCGGCGTGGGACAGAGTGGCTGGGCACGAGGGGCGTGGGCAAAGGCACGGGAGCAGGGGGGAGTGGGCACATGAGATGTGAGCACGGGGGGTGGGGGATGGGCTTATGCATTCTGGGTTTGGGGTGGACGTTGAAACAAAGGACGTGACGCACGAGCACCAGGAGTGGGAACGAATGTGGGCATCGGGGGACCTGGGCACAGATAGAGACATAGGTTATGGGGAGTGTAGGCACGGGGCAGGCTTGGAGCATTGGGTGTGGGACATGAGCATAAGACTTGGGCACGTGTATTGGCATAGGGCGCTAAGCGTAGGCTGGGCATTAGGGCACTGGGCACTCGGTAGGCATAGGTGAATGGCAGTGGACATGGGCTGGGGGTGAAGGTGTGACGGTGAGCATAGGACCACAAGGCACAGGGGATGAGCACTGGAAGTGGGCACAGATGTGGGACATGAGACAGGTATAGGGATGTGGAAATGGGCATAGGGCATGGGCACACAATGGGGATGTGGCCTTATCGGACAGGGGCGTGGGATAGAAGCACAGGGTGGGCACCAGGTGGGACTCCTAAGCCCCCAGTCTTGGTGCCCGTAGAATTGCGTGCCCACCTTCAGGATGGTCGCCAGGAGCCCGAGTACCAAATCCGTCTGTGCTTTGGCGAGGAGTACCCAGGGCCCCCAGACCAGCCCGAGGAGCGGCTCATCATGGCCCACGTGAGTCACCTCCCACTCCAGCGAAGAGCCACACCTTTCAGTCACCTCCAACAGCCCCTTACCGACTCCCTCCAGTCCTCAGCTCCTAACCCGATGACCCTCTGGTCTGTAGGACCCTGCACATAAAGTGCCTGTAGGGTGGGGACTGTCACTGGGACTGTGACTTCCCACTGGAACATACGGGGGGGGGGGTGGCGCGCTGAGAGAGTTGGTTCATTGCCCCTCCCACCCTCACAGGTGGAGCCAGTCTTCACCAGCGAGCTCTTCCTGCACTCAAGCACCACTAGGGTGGTATCCCAGCGGTGGCAGGTCCCCAGCCCAGCATCGCCGATGGCGTCACTCACCTGCTCACGCAGCTGAGTCAGCAGTAAAGGGTCACTTCCTCCTCTCCTACCATCCGAAGTCACCCCGCTCCCGCGAGTGCAGACCCCACCCCAGACCTGCCCGTGGACTTGGGGCTGCCCATCGCCCAGGTCAGTGGGGACGGCGGAAGCAGATCCGCGCCCTTCAACCTCTCCGCCGCAGAGATGCAGCCCTGGAGCGCGTGGGCGGACGGCACACAGCTGGGCCTGGGAAGTCAGGAGGAAACCAAACTCGACCTTGAGCTTCTGGAAACAGCAATTAGGGCAGAAACAAGACTTCATTTCTCGTTGGGAGCCCAACAGGTCTGTGGTGATATACCTGCAAGCCCGCTTTACCTGCAACTGATTCATTATAAGGTTTGCTTAAAGCTGGGTTTACCGATAATTAGATCCTCAGGGATTAGAGAGAAGCCAGACAGTAACAGAATTGCCTGGCCTCTAAGGGGCTCTGAGTTTCCAGACCCATCCTCCCACCTGCCACTAGTCTCTATTCTTATGTGGCCAGGGAGGGCTCCCACAGCAGAAAACTTGGCCTGAACTGGGGGTTTGGGGGTTGACAACTGAACCACCAGCACCAATAGATACTGTGTTTGAAGGAATTCAGGCTGAGCCCCAAACATAGCCCTAGGGCAGAAGCTAATGTCGGAGGCTTTGCAAACTGCAAGTTGTAGGAAGTCCTTGAGAATTGGAAGGGAGCCCCTTCAACCATGAAGGCAACTTGCCTTGGCGGGAAATTCACTGTTTCCTGCCCCAGATATCAGACCTTGTTTCCCTTTTTGATTTCTGACTTTATAGAGATTCTCTTACAGATGGCAACATAATAAATCTCTGTTAGTGATACATTAATACGCCTCTTTTATGGTGGGGAAGAGCTGTATGCTTCGGCAAAGGACAGAAGTCAATCAGATCACTGTTTTTTATTTATTCAGCAAACGTTGATTGAGCACCCACTCGGCTTCCAGCCCAGTGCTGGACAAAACAGCACATCCCTGCTGTCTTGGGGTTCATAGCCTGTGTTCCAGTGGGGGTCCAGTGACTGTCCTGTCTCCCTTCTTCTCTCCTATAGAAAGGGTGGTGTTAAGGAGTTATAGAATACTAGATTCAAATCCCAACTTTGTGATTCACTAGCTGTGTGACCTCAGGCAAGTCACTTAAACTTTCTGAGGCATAGATTCTGCATCTATTCAAAAGAAGCCATGAAGGGCTGTAGAGCAGGGTTGGTCCAAGGAGTAAATGCAGAGAGAGAAGGCAAGTTGTCAGGAGGCTGACATGGGGAGTGGTACACAGTAGGTGTCCTCTGACTTGGTTACTTATGGGTGGGAGAGCATGACAGGGAAGACCTGACTGCCCTAGGCTTCAATGGCCCAAGGCCCAAGGCTGCAGCTGATGGGTAGCCTCGGTTCAGAGTGACATTCCTGAGTCACATCCCCACCCCTACTCTGTGCTAGACTCTTGGAGGGTGCTGGATGCCGTGTAAGGGGGCCTGTTGCCTCCTCACCACAGTATGGACAGCTGAAGAGTCGCCAGCTCCAGTTTAGAGATGGGAAACTGAGGCTGGGCCAAAGTCAGGGACTTGCTTGAAAAGCCTCTTGGGAGGTGGGGGGGGAATGTCTCTGCCCAGATGGCTGTCCTCCCCACACCAGTCACTAGAGGGCGCCGGAGCTCAGCACACGCGGTTTGGCGGTTCTCACCACCTCCGTGGCGCCCGCCCCCAAACGCCCGGGAGCTAGTGTGACCCCAGGGGCTGCACCCTGCTGGGAGGAGAAAGTAGACCTCAGGCCTGGAAGAAGGAGGGGAGAAAAGGGGGAGCTAGAGGCGGGGATTTGAGGACCCCTGGGGCTTTTCCCACCCGGGGTCCCCAGTTCTCCAGCTCAGCCCCTTTGAATCTGCCCAGTCTCTCTCCTCAGTGTGCCTCTCTCTGTCTCTCTGCCCTCGTCCCTTGTGTCTGTGCTGTGTCTCCCTCTGCATCTTCCTCTTTCACTCTCTCTCTGTACACTGATTTCTCTCAGTGATTCTTTCTCTGGGTGGTGCGTGCGTGTGGGCTGGCTCTGTGTGTCTCTGTTCTCTCTGCCTCATCTTCGTCTCTCCGTGTGTGTCTCTGCCTCTGTCTCGCGGTGCGTGTCACTGTTTCTCTTGCTATGTCTCCACCTCTCTGTGTCTTTCTCTCTTTTGGTTTCTCTGTCCCTGTCTCGCTCGGTTGCCTGTGCTGTCCCTCGCAGCCACCACCACCCAGCACGTGGGGGCTGAGGATCGCGGTGTCCTCCCTCCTATTTCCTCACCCCGGCAGCAGCGGCTCCCAGCTTCCCAGTGCGGGCCTCCGTGCCCGCCCCTCTCGGGCCTGGCGGCAGGGAGGGGGCTGAGGGAGGAAGGGAGGGCAGCCTGGCGGGCCCACCCCTTTTTGCCTTTCCAGGCTGGGAGGCTGGGCCAGGGGGCCTTTTAACCAGCCCGGGCAGGCTGTGCCGGACACCGGGCCTGGACGCCTGTGCCTGGCCCCTCCGTGGTCCCGGCAGCCGCCAGCCCCGGCCAGCATGCAGCAGCAGCCCCTACCCGGGCCCTTGGCCCCTGCGGCCGAGCCCACCAAGCCTCCCTACAGCTACATCGCTCTGATCGCCATGGCCATCCAGAGCTCGCCGGGGCAGCGGGCCACGCTCAGTGGCATCTACCGCTACATCATGGGCCGCTTCGCCTTCTACCGCCACAACAGGCCCGGCTGGCAGAACAGCATCCGCCACAACCTGTCACTCAATGAGTGCTTCGTCAAGGTGCCCCGCGATGACCGCAAGCCGGGCAAGGGCAGCTACTGGACGCTGGACCCTGACTGCCACGACATGTTTGACCACGGCAGCTTCCTGCGCCGACGCCGACGCTTCACCCGGAGAGCAGGTGCCGAGGGAGCCAAGGGCCCTGCCAAGGCACGTCGTGGACCCCTCAGAGGGAGCAGCCCGGATCCAGGAGTCCCCGACGCCGTGACTGGCAGGCCGTGCACCTTCCCACCGGAGCTGCCCGAGCCCAAGGGCTTAAGCTTTGGGGGTCTGGTGGGGGCCTTGCCGGCTAGCATGTGCCCAGCAACCCCGGATGCCAGGCCCCGGCCGCCCACGGAGCCCAAAGAGATGCCCACACCTAAGCCTGCAGGCCCGGGGGAGCTCCCTGTGGCCCCCTCGTCTTCCCCGTGCCCAGCATTTGGCTTTCCTGCGGGCTTCTCTGAGGCCGAAGGTTTTAGCAAGGCCCCCACGCCCATCTTGACCCCAGAGGCAGGCATCGGGAGCAGCTACCCGTGCCGGCTGCAGGCACTGAATTTCTGCATGGGGACTGATCCAGGCCTTGAGCACCTCTTGGCCTCAGCAGCCCCCTCTCCGGCACCACCCACCCCTCCAGCCTCACTCCGGGCGCCGCTTCCCCTGCCAGCTGACCCCAAGGAACCCTGGGTTGCAGGAAGTTTCCCTGTCCAGGGAGGCTCCAGCTACCCATTGGGGCTGACCCCCTGCCTATACCGGACACCAGGAATGTTCTTCTTTGAGTGAAGCCAGCCTGGCCTCAGGCAGTCCCTGCAGGTCCCCTGCCAACCACACCCTCCAGGCTGAGCCTGACTCAAGGATCTGGGGAGATTTCAAGAGATCCAGGCCTGACAAGCCAACGACCGGGACAGGAAGCCAAGATTGGAGTAGTGAACACTCAGCCAGCCTCGGCGCCTCCGGACAGACTTGAGGGAGAGGGGAGGCAGGGCCCCCTTGGGATTTACTCTGTGGCTCTCAGGGCCAATAAAACCAGTGTGATGGATGAGGGTCAGCTTCCTGGATGGTTGGGGGCTGAGGGCCGGGACGCCTGGTTCTGTGTGCGGTGGCTGTGGTTGGGGGATTTCGGGGCAGGGGACCCTGGATGGAAATGTCCCATGTGAGGCTTTCTCCTGCTGGGGACTTTCTCAGGGAGTTTCCCAGGAAGGTGGAGGAAGAGGGAGCAGGGAATAGGGAAGAGAGAAAAGGAGTGTAGCCAAGAGACACCCGGCAGGGGGTGAAGCTGGGCTGGCCTGAGGGGCTAATTCTCCAGGCCCAAGCTCTGTCACTCAGCACCTCCCTCCCCCATGACAAGTGGTCAGAATAACTGTGACCATTTGTGGCATTTATTCTGTCCTGGGCTTGTCTATATCCTTTCACCGAGCCCTGTGCCATTTGGAATGTTATCCCCATTTTACAGTGGTGGAAACTGAGGCTCAGAGAGTTTGGGGTCCAGATGGCAAATGAGTAGCTATACCCCCAGCCCCTGTCCCGCAGTCTGAGTGAGGACACAGAGGTGGCACACAGGGTAGGAGCAGAGCTGGTGTCGACCGCCAGAGCGGGAGGGGCTTTTGTGGAATCCTGGAACGCTATTACAAAAAAGGCACCCTGACCCCTTGCATAGGCAGGGAAACCGAGGCTCAAAAGGCAGGCACCAGGCCCCTTGTCTGCATTTCCCACATGAATGAGGGATCTCCCTGAGCCCCCAGCTCTCCAAAGGCCTCCTGATGACTCTTTAAGAAAGTATTTCTGTCTGCGGGGGAGTGGGTGGCTGTCCTGGGTACAGATCAGAAGTGACTGAGCCCTGACCTTTGGCCTCTTCTAGCCTCCCCCCTTGGGCAGAAGCAGGAGAAATGGGTATACTAATGGCCCCTATCAGAGGAAGAGACTCAGGGACCTGAAACCTCCCTGTCCCCACACCCTTCAATACCCAGAGTTGCTGAGGCAAAGGGCTTCCTTCTGGAAGCCTTGGTACCCCCATCTGGATCCTGGGTAGAGGGAGAAAAGAAAGAGGCCAGGGATACTGGGGGAACCCCCTTTCTGGCATTTGGTGTAGGGGCCTGATGGGTCTCTCGTCCCACGAGGTGACACCCAGGGGGCTGGAGACCCCTTGGTCGGGCAGGCAGCCCAGTCCCCCCAGAGGCCCTCACTCAGGCAGGCAGCCGTGCTGATTTCAGTCTCTGCTGCTCCCTCCTCCCTCAGCAGGTCCCCTGGGGCCTGGGCGGAAGCAAGCCCGGCTGGACAGTCCCAACTGTCTGGTTCCCACAGACTCCAGAGCCGCCAGGGTGGAGGGGGGACCTGCAGGGTCGGGGCTCACTGTGGCCGGAAGGGGTTGGGAAAATGCCTGGCCAGCTGTGGGGCCCCTCCCCACCATGCACACTGGGCCCCAACCTGGAATCCATCTAGCAATGGAGAGAAGAAGAGAGGGTCTGTCCCATCTCATCACATGCAGGAAGCCTCATGGGCCAAGAGTAGAGCGAAGTTCTGTGTGAGTGGGGCGTGAGTGAGGAGAGGGGAAGGAGATGCTTATGTGGGTTTGTTCCAAGGTGTGTGCCTGTGTGTGCGTGCGCGCGCGCGTGTGTGTGTGTGTGTGTGTGTGTGTGATGCACAGAGACAAACAGATAGTTACAGAGACAGGGACAAACAGATTCAGGGGGGTAAGTGTTCTTTTTCAGTTGGGTCAGGGAAAGAGGCCTCTGCCGGGCAATGTTCCCTGTGGCGCATTCCTGTGGAGACCTGGTGACCCCAGTCCCTTCCCAGTCTGTGTCCTGAGCTTGTAGGAGGCTGGAGAGGCTGGCCTGACTAGGGAGCCCCCACCTCTGCATCCTGCTCCAGCCATCCTCTAAGGAGCTTGGCATCTGAACTGGGGTGGGGGCCTGGGGAAAAGGAAGTCACGTCCCACCCTTTGCCCTGAGGAGACGTACCAAAAAGGATCAATCACAGCTGGTGCACAGACTCAGCTATGGGCCAGAGCCCTCTCTCCATGTCCCTCTCTGACCCCCCAACATAGTCAAGAAGTGAAGACAAGTCCCCTCAGTCCCAATCCCAAGCAGAGCAGGCACCCTGGGCTCAGTGCCTGCCTTGAACTCGCTGTCTGAACCTGGCTGAGTGCCCATCTCTCTGGGCCCTGATTTCACTCCCTTTGCCCAGCAGGGGTTGGGGAAAGGGCAGCCTAACTCTGAGTCTGGGTCCCAGGGGAGGGTCTGACATGGGGGACTGCCTGGAGGGGATCCCATCCCCAGAGGTGCTGGACTAGGAGGCCCAGACACCATGATCTCATGTTGCCCTCTGCTGGCTGCCCAGCCCAGGGACCCCACCCACTGGGCCTCCTGCCCTCACATTCTTTCCATGACCAACAGACGCCCTGTGGCTCCTGCCTGGCCACCCCCACCTGGAGGGGTGGACAGTGCTTAGCAGAGATTCAGAATGCCTAAGCCGGGCCAACCCAGAGAGAGTACCTTAGCACAGATGGACAGCCCAAGGCCAGAGAAGGCAAACAATGTGCCCAAGGTCACACAGCAAAGCAGGAGCAGGTAACTGCTCCGCTACCTTAACTGTGCAGCCCTTAGAGGACAGGGGCTGTCCCATCTGCCTCTGCCTCAGGGACCCTCCTCCTCCCTGGAGGCTTGTCGCCTCCAGGAGGGGATCCCAGCCCCTCCAACTCGTCCCCAGCGGGTTAGCGTGGAAAAGCGCGCAGAGCTGCCTTGCAGAGTGGGCTAGATCAAATTCCAACATGGTAGAATCAGGGATATTTAAGAATATTCCAGAGTTTTTAATCACAGCAGCCCAGATTCTTGGAATATCTCCTGCCCATTTTCTGAACCCCCTCTACACCAAGTACCAAGTCACGTGGGGCTCCAGGAAAGGGGAGCCTGCTGCCTTCAGAGGCGGCCCCTTCCCGCCCAGGTCTGGCGGCTCTGAAGCTTCACCTGCTGGTCCTCTGGTCTCTGCTCTCCCTGCCCCCAGGGAGGCCACCCCCACCCGCAGGGCTGGGCCTTCCTCAGACTCCTCCACCCTCCACATCTTATCTCCCTCTGCTCTCCCGCCCACCCGCTTCCTTCCCCGGTTTATGGCATTCCACTGCCCAGAGCTCAACACTCCCCACACCCAGACTGCGCCTGAGCCGGGGGCCTGGAGACCCTGGCCACTCTGAGGCAGCCACAGCGGTGAGGGAGAAGGGGGAGGCATGTCTGCCTGCAGAAAGTGTATGGGACCTAGCAATCCAGTCTTCAGCCAAAACACCCTGTCCCGACGACACCCGGGTGATTCCCATCTGCCGGGGGCAGTAGGTACAGCGCTAAAAGCAGGAGCTCTGGAGCCCAGCTGCCTAGGTTCAGATCCCAGCTCTGTCACTTCCTAGCTGTGTGGCCTTGGGCAAGTTGCTTCCCCTCTCTGTGTTTTCCCCATCTATAACATATGGACACTAACAGTGGGAGTCTATGGGGTTGTTGTGAGGATGACGTGAGTTAATATTTGCAAAGGGCTTAGAACCCAGTCGGGCACAAGGAAATCGCAATGTGTTTAAATTTTTTAGAAGTTGGGTCCCAGGAGCAGGTCCCCTTAACCTGATCTACTCCCCAGGAGAAGATGGGGGGATAGAGGGGAAGGGAAGACTGTTACAGAGACAGGCTTCGGGTTCAATTCCTGACATCTCCACTTCCTTGCCGTGTGACTTTGAGCAAGTGGACTCACCTCTCTGAGTATCGCTTTCTTCATCTGTAAAATGGGGGTAATGTTGTCAATCCCCAGGACTGGTATGGGGGAAACCTCGTCCCACACACTGTATGTACAATTCAGCCAACAAGAATGATATCAGAACATAAGACAGCCCCGCTGGGGGGCCTGGTACCCTCAGCCCAGTCGCTCTGCCCCTTCCTTTGCACGTGGCAAACCTCTGTCCCCGCACAGCCAGAGGGGCCCAATCCCTGTTCCTGCCCCACTGGTAACTGGGTGGTGACAGCGAGGCAGCTGGTGGGGCCAAAGGAAGTGGTTCCAGGCTAAAAACAGGCCAGAGGCCCATTTAGTCACACAGCCAGAATCCTGCCTGGTGGTGCCTGCCTCCTCCTGACCACAGCCCTCAGGGAGCCCTGATCTGTCTTGGATACAAATGAGAGGCTGACCCTCCTGCTCCTGAAGACAGCCAACTCCCTGGTGGTGCTGTTTCCACCTCTCGGCCCTTGCACTTGCTGTCCCCTCCACCTGGAATGCTCCCTCCCTGCTGGCTGACTTCTCAACATCCAGAGGCCAAGTACCACCTGCTCAGAGAGACTTCCTCACCCCCTTAATTGATTAGATGCTTCCAGATTAGTCTCCATCTCCTGCATCCTATTTGTTTCCTCCACCAGGCACCTACTGCAATGTGGGATTATGCATTTCAAGGCGTGTTCACTTTTTATTGTGTTTCTGACTTTGAATGCAAGCTTCAGGGAGCAAGGGTTGGTCTGCCCTATTCATTGTATCCACTTCCCTAACCCGGCAACCAGCACACAGAAGGCCCTTGATAAAGGTTTGCTGAGTGGATGAATGAAGTCATGGCCACCCACCCTTTCCATTCGCCATGGATTAAATCTCAGAGAAGCCCCCAGGAGCTCGGTGACCTACTCAGAGCAAAAGCCCAAGTTAGGGGCCCGGGCCGTCCAGCTTTGTGTATGGGTCCTCCTAGCCCTACCCTCACTCCAAACTGCCTTTGCACTTGCTCTTCCTTCTGCCTGGAACAGTCTTCTACTAACCCCCAGAGTACACTTTGATCTCTGTTCAAACTCTGTCCTCAGAGAAGCCCTCCCAGACTCTGCCCCCACCCACCCCACCAGCACATTCTAAATTCACTACTGCCTGGTCAGAGTTCTCCCACCTCAAATAAAGCTCCACAAGGCCAGAGACTTTTGTCTCCTGGCTGCTTGCCCCCCAGCACCTAGAGTGCTCTCTGGAACACAGGAGGGTCTGGAGACATAGTTGTGGAACAAACAGAAGCTCAGCATCCTGGGCCACCTGTTCTATCCTTATCCC